CCGGCAGAGCAGAACTGCCACTTCTTCCTCCCCGACAGGCTGGTGGGTATAAATCGCCGACCTGCCTTTAGCAGCCGGAACTTAACCACCAGGGCTCCTTCAAACTATCCTATCCATCGAGTTGGAATTCGGAGGTGTGTGGGGTGGCCCTGGGGACACAGGGTAAGTGACTAGGGTCAGATGACCAGTGGTGCTTGTCACCACCTCCTGGAGGGGTTTGGAAAGCTTCCCCCCACCTACAAACACACACACACACACACACACACACACACACACACACACACAAGCACACACACACAAGCACACACACACATATACACAGACCTATACAGACACACACCTACAAACACACATACATGTACACCTACACACACACCTACACCTACACGGATACATACAAATACACATAGCTACACACATACATACAACTACACACACACCTACACACCTATACACATACACACACACACAAGCAGAGAAGAGGAACATCTGGCCCTGCCCAACCGGAAGCTCAGATGCCTGCCCTCCAGGGCCCAGATGGCATGTACATACCCAGTTGAACGTAGCCTCTCCTTGCTGGTCCCTAGAGTGTGGGTACCCTCACTCACCAGCCTCCCTCCTCAGGCACAGGTGGGCAGGTCTAGGCGCACACAGGCTTGGGTCCAGTGGACATATGAGGGTCTCCCACTTTCCAGAGAGGGGTTCCCCTTGGGCCCAGACTCCAGCAATCAGGACTAGGAGAGCTTGGACCGTGAGATCTGGCTGTGGGGCCCAGCCACCTACCACCTAGGACATGCGTTTATTTTTAGGGCTTTTTTTTTTTTTTAGGAGGGAGGGGGGTTCTTGTCATCCACCAGGGGGCGGGGCTCTGGAGGGCTTTCACCGCTGAATGCGTGGCAGTGCTTCGGAGGGCAGGAGGAGCTGGTAGCCCTTGGGGCGGGCACGCTTCAGGACTGAGCGCAGCACCAAACTGGGCAGGAAGGACTCCTAGAACAGAGAGGGCCAGCTGGGCACCGTGGGCGTCTTGGCAAGGAGACGGGCTCCCTGGGCCCAGGGGACTGGACTGAAGCTGCAGCACTGAGCTGCACCAGGCTACCGAGGAGGCGGGCTCTGGATCCAGGCAGCCCACCCTTGACCGCCCAGCTTTGCAGGAGGGGCGGAGGCTCGGGGCTGGGTCAGCACAAGTGCTGAAAGCCCACCTGAGCCGCCACCCCACACACACACACCCGCATCACTGCGCTCTGGGTGCCTGGAACCCCAGCAGGCACTCACCAGCTTCTGGCTCCAGGTGCGGGGCAGCTTGCCCACCTGCTTCAGGATGCTGGGGGCATCCAGGTGGGTCTTAAGCTCCCCCTGCTGCCTCGGAGGGGCCTCCTTGGGGATGCAGGGCAGGCCACTGCTCCCCCCGGGGGTCTTCTCAGGGAGGCGGCCCCGTGGTTCCTGGGTAGGCCTGACAGACAGGAAGCCCTGAGCTGGAGCCGGAGCCCCAGGCACCCTCCCCCCCACCCCCCCCCACGACTGGCTGGCAGGGTGAGGCGGGGTGCCTCGCTCACCAGTTGGGGCTGTCCGGCTCCCACGGAGAGCTGCCACCATGAGCCTTCTCCGGCCGGGTCCCAGGGCACATGGCTCTCGGCAAACTCTCTAGCCATCGGCCAACACTCCGGATCACCTGCTCTGACACCACGGGCTGGGGGGCTGTCCCACCCTCCAGGAGGCTCTGCCGGACTGTGGGGAAGAGGACACAGGTCAGGCCCTAATGGAGGGGCAGGGTTCCCCCTCTCCCCTTCTTCTGCAGGCAAATGGTCTGTCTCCATGGCAACCTAGGCCCCCTATTCCTCACCCCTATCCCCAGGCCCTTCCAGCTGCTGGAGAGCAGACTTGGGTTTTACAACTAGCTGTGCAACTGTTCCTGCCTTGACTACGGGGCTGTGCCCTTCCCCCTCCACAGCACCTGCTCCAGCTCCCAGAGTGCCAGAGACACAAAGGAGGGTGGATGGATGGATGGACGGGATGGGCAGAGCCTGTCCTGCCCAGCAGCTGCCTTTCTGGCCAGTCAAAAACCCCAACTCAACTCATAGTGACCCTCTCTCTTCATGGGAGTAGAGCCCCATCTCTCTCCCAAGGAGCAGTGGGTGGTTTTGAACCGCTGACTTTGACGTTTGTAGGCCAACATGTAACCACTCCACCACCAGGGCTCCTCAGACCAGTCAGGCCTGGCCCCTGAGTTCCCCTACAGGCCAAGCCCCACTCCTCTCCTGGGGCAGGGACACCAGCTCCTGTGACCAGGGCTTGTAGCCTGTCTCCCGGGCTACTCACGTCACTAGCATCCAGTTGTGCCCTTGTCTGGGGGGAAATCCTTGCCTTGGCTTCCCAAGTGTGGCCCTGGGGCACTCTGGCTTCTTGTCCTTCTGCTCAGCATCCCCCTCCAACCACCAGAGGTGGATAAACTGCCCACCCCCTGCCCTGGTGACCCTCAGGAGTCTGTGGGGTGTGTGTGTGTGCGTGCTTGTGTGTCTTGGATTCTAGAAGGCTCTGGTGTATAGAGCTACACCCACAGCTCGGCTTTGGGGCTGCCATTTACTGAAATTACGTGTAGTAGCTGCTCAGTGAACAGATGCCGGCTGCCAGCTGCTGCAAGCCCTGGGGGCTGCTCGTTTTGCCACATGCAGGGCTGGGCAGAGGCTGGGCAGATGGAGAAAGGTTTATAAAGGCCATGGCAGAGCTAGGACACCCATTTTCACCTGCCTCTGACCACA